CACTATCATTGTCGTTGTTGCTGCTGGCTTCTTCCTTTGTCCGGAGTACACGCAAACTCCAGGTTGTACATGCTCTACTGACCGAGAATTCCGCAGCGGGGGGAACGTGTAGTTCCCAGAAAACCACAGGCATGCAGCTGCAGTTGTGTTCAGCAAGCTGGCATGTCCCACTTATGCAGCAAAGTTACGCTATGCCTGCAACCAGCGAAACAGATAAAACGTCTCGCCAAATCCTTCCCTCAATTAATTACATTGCTTAAACACTCAATTACCGAGCCTTTACATAAACATCAAGCAATCCCCAGGCCCACCCTAAATCCTAGTCCCTAAACTCTACCCTACAAAACCCTATTGTACCTTGAGCCTGACGCTGTAACCTTTACTAAAGTAGCAAAAGAAATGAATCCAAAGCAAGCTCCAGGGCCTCTTGCTGCGTCTTTCCTTCAGAATCTGGATGCGTTTATCGTTTATTGTTTACTATGCTTATTATTTGTATTTCTACTTGTTTACTACTACTCTTAGCATTATTATTGTACTTGTCTATGATGATGATGATGATGGTTATGACTGTGCATTTTTGTTGTTTATTATTACTATTAAATTATTGATGTTGTTGCTTAGGGCTGGCTGGCTTTGCGGAGTAAGGTTTGGGGCTGATGAAGATCATTGGGAATGTTGTAGTTTCTTGTATGAATTTCTATCAAATGTATATTGTATGCTTCAGCATCTAAATCGCAACCACACTTTGGCTTTGGAATTTGCATGCATCTTTTCTTACATTCAGGAGGATGCCATGAGACTCCTGTTGAAGTTTCATAATTCTAGACCTAGAGGTCCGCAGTTAGTCCTTCTTCTTGGTTCTTGAAGAAAAACCAACCCAAACTGGATTGCTAAACTGCAGCTATTTTACTTATAACCCCGGGCCGATAGTTACGCCTAAATATCCATGCAGGAAGGGGCCCCTCACGGCTTAGAGGCATTGAGCCGATGTCTTGGCGCTATTGGCTCCTCGAGTCCTCAATTTGGCAAGCTCTTCACAGACCGTTCCTGTCATCCTTAGTACGGACGCCCTTCATCATTTGAACATCCGCATGCACCCTGCTGTCTGTCTATGTGTGCTGTGTCAAGACACCCCAGTGCGCTTCACCTTTACCCTAACAGCGAATACCCAACGCAACCAAGTCCACAATTTGTATCACCAACCAATGTTTAAGATGTGTTTGGCTCCGAAAGTAGGCAGCGGAATGTGTATGCTCATTTCTGTCCTGCTGGAACACGGAGCCAAGTACTGTTGCTGCTCAGCAGAAGACATCACACCCAATGCAACTTTGCGCGTCAATGCTATGTCAGCAAGGCCGACTTGTCAAGCAAGGCTTTCAGATTGGCTGTTATCGTTGCCAGCGTCTTCCGGTAGATCTTATACTACGCATTGCCGATTTGACACATCGATTTGACGTTGTGGCTGCGCTCCCATAGTTTCTAGGTTTTCCTCCTGTCGTTGAACAAGTATGCCAAGCACTTGCTTGCAAATAGTCTGTACTCAGGCTCAAGGTTTCAGCTTGCAGTTTATTGTCTATTGACATGTTTGGACCGTAGGACTGGAAGGCTTTTTAAGCAGAACGCTGACCCCGAAACTTTTTGAACCTCATGTGAGCTATAGTCTAAACTCCTAGTATCCCCCTTAATAACCCCTGTAGTAGACCCCTATATACTCCCCTATATACCCCCCTTTAAGGAGTTTAGACTATAGCTCAGGTCCTAAGCAACTCCCAGTGTCCTCCAGAATGCATCGTGTAGCACGCAAAGAAGAAAGCTCCGAAAGCACAGCTTGCTCCAAACACAGCCTGGAGTTCGGGCCCAAACCCTAAATAACAGTTTCTATTTTCTTTTCCATTATCCCTATATAACCCCTATATATACCCTATTATAATAGAATCGTTTCCATTTGGGTCATGGCGGCTGGGCGGGCGAAGAATCGCACAAATTCTTTCTGCAAGAAAGTTCCTTCACATTAGACAAATCGTGGACAAGGATCCCAGTGGAAATCCCTCCTTTGTTGTAACTGCATTTATTGCTTCTCTTAAAGAGGTCTCGCGACATCAAGGACTGGAGTTTGGAGGATCTCAAATGCTGTTGGAAGCGCTTAGACCCATTCAATACAGTGGTCCTGATCAAGCGCTCTGTGATTCAGGGACTGTACGGGCCCCTGTCTTCGAAGCCGGAAAGCCCTGAGCCCATTCCACAGTGTAGGAGCTGTAGTGTGAGCTCGTAGTATCACCCCTAATGACCCGTATAGTAGTCCCCTACGAAATCCCCTATACAACCCCCTGTATAGGTCCCCACCATTTTGTAAGTGAGGACAGTGGGGCCTCATTGGGGGGTGTCACACGCCCTGGGGCCAAATCTGGCTCACCATCCCTGCAGACCTAAACCCTAAACCCTGAACCCCTAACATCTAGCAGGTTCAACACTTCAACAATAATATCCAACTAACAAGCATACTAAGCCACGGACTGAAGCGTAAGCGCACGCGCATATGTCTACATGTATATATATATATGTATATATGTTAAGCATGCGAGACTTCACGAGGTACGCGTATCCTTTGAAAGCAGTCTGCTTGAACCCTGGACTACACAAATTCAATTTCGCGAGACACGTAAACCCGAAACCCTAAACCCTGAACCCCGAACATCTAGCGGGTTCAACACTTCAACAAGACAATCCAACTAGCAAGCATACTAAGCCACGGACTGAAGCGTAAGCGCACGCGCATATGTCTACATGTATATATATATATATGTTAAGCATGCGAGACTTCACGAGGTACGCGTATCCTTTGCTAGCGGGTCTGCTTGAACCCTGGACTATACAAATTCAATTTCGCGAGACACGTAAACCCGAAACCCTAAACCCTGAACCGTGCAGCCGGGCCTCGGCAAGCACCACAACACCACAGACAAGCAGTACTGTTCAGAGATTACCTAAACCCCCAAAGTATGTAAAATAATAGCCCTAAGCCCATAGTATCAGCCATAAAGGCCATTATTTTTTGGAGTCCAGGTAGGGCTTGCAGGATTGGGGGTTGCCATATCAAGGCCGCGCGCTAAGCGTTTAGGGTTTAAGGTGTAGGGTAAACAGCCCCTGCATTGCCCCTTAACAGCTCCTTTTTGCCACTCAGGAAAGAATCCCTAAAATCCTCGCTCGTAAACCACAAACCCTATCCTGAAACCCCACACACTAACCCTCAAACCCCGACCCTCAAAACCTGAACCCTCAACCGCAAACTCTCAAACCCTCAAGCCATAACTGGCTTGCTGTTAAGGAACTAAAATTAAGTTACCAAAATGGGCATATATGGTTAGTAATACGGCTTTCCCAGTATATTAACTCCTCTTAAGTTCCTTAACAGCAACCCAGATAACCCCTTGCCAAGAAACAGCAAGCAAGGACGCCACCTGCACGGAGGCCTCCTGTGCAGGCTCCTCCTGCTGCAACGACGCAGGTACCACCTGGAAATTTCTGAAAAAGGGTTGGGTGGCATGAGTGGGGGTATACTGGGGTTATATCTGTAGGGTTATATAGGTGTGGAAGTCTCTGAAAAAGGGAGAGCCTCAGAGAGCCTATATTAGGGGGTGTCTCCAAAAATTAAGCATAGCGGGCCCCAGTACAGGGCCCAATCCCAATATACAATCGCCGGTGTTGTGGGGACGGTGTCAAAACAAAGAGTAGTGCAGAAGCCTAATTAGGGTTTAGGGCATATATGGGTTACATAAGATGTAAGGCTTTTAGGGGTAGAGGAATGAAGAATCAAGCGGACAATGACATGGAACATAACATGGCAACTCGGCTTATGTATGTAGCGGCTCCTACGGATTGTGATGTGGGGGGTTCTGGATACTTAGAAGTAGGGATGTGGGCTACATCATACTTCAACGAGATAAGGATTGCCTCAAAATTATCATTGTAATTAATCCGCTCCCTCTATATTGGGAGTAATGAATATTGGGGGGGGGGTTGGGCGGGGGGATCAAGATTATAGTCCCCCCAAGTAGATAGAATATGGCTTTGGGTATATTATCCAGGCTTCTACATTGTGGTGACCCCGTTTGGGTGCTTGTCTTTTTAGGGGAAAGCTATGGTCAGTGTAACCTAGAATAATTTCAATTCCCAATTTAAGGCTATTTTGGTACTGCGCCCTATATAAACCACCATTTAGGGTGAGGTCGGGTGAGGTCGCTTTGAATTTCCCAATCAATTAGTATTATGTTGTCTACGGCTCTTCGGAGTTTTGTTTGGGGTCCTGCAGTCCAGCAGTTTCATGTTCAGGGCTTTAGCTGGCTTTAGCTTGGGTCGTGGCAGACATGATGGGCATTCATGGAGCACGTGGGTGTAAATGTTCCTCAAGAGTGTAAGCTTCCGAGTTCATGTAGCGCTTGAAAATTATTGTGCCTTGCTTAGCATGTCAGTCAACGGCTGCAATCCTGCGCAACGATTGGTTCAGGATGGATTTAGGGCGGGATGTCCCTGAAGCCCAAGATTTGTTTGCAGTACATGCAAAGTCATTACACATCATTTCGATACCTGGCCCAGTTCTACTCCTGCGGCTTGGCAATCAACGCAACCGGTCATGGCATCCGGCCCTTTGGCAAGGCTGGAAGTCAGAGGCCGGTGTTTGCGTGATTGGAGTGCTTCGGGCCGCTACAGTAGGGAAATACCAAAATCATTTTGACATTCAAAAAAGCCAACCTGCATCTGCGGCAGCGCAATCATCATCAGCCAAAAATGTGGTGATTGCTTTACGAATGGAATATTTAGTTTGAGGGCCTGTGGGTAGGAGGATTGGTCCGTCATCAGGTCACCTTGGAAGAGGCTCTGGCCGCAAAGATCCTCCACAAAAACCCTGGACTAATCCAACTCCAAGCCACAAACCCTAAATGTCAAACTCCAGACCCTGGCCCCTGACTCTGTGCAACCAAGCCGCAGCTTCCACAATCGAGGTGGTGCTGGTCGTGCTCCTGGTGCCACTAGTTGTGGCGCTGCTTGTGCCACTGCTTGTGCCACTGCTTGTGCCACTGCTTGTTCCACTGCTTGTGGCACTGGTTGTGGCGCTGCTTGTGCCACTGGTTGTGGCACTGGTTGTGGCGCTGCTTGCGGTACTGCTGGCGGTGCTGCTCGTGGCAGTGCTGGTCAGGATGCTGCTGGTAATGCTGCTGGTGGTCGTGCTGGTAGCGCTGCTCTGCGATGTTTGTGTTGAAGTGGACGACATAAAAACCTAAGATTTCAATCTCCGGACATCTTGTGTCACCTGAACTTGACATCTACGATCAATTCGTTTATGCCTAAAGTTTTTAATTGAGGTGCTTTTTGGGGTTCAGCTCTTGGAATCATATCCTGAAGGCCCTCGCACTATCTGGTTCAGGAAAGCGTAGATTTTCCCAGAAGCTCTCCTTGACAACATTCACGGAAACCTCACAGATGCGTGGAGTGTGCAGGAGAGGGCAGAATACCCCCTACCCAAGTAACACCAATTTCATGCTGCAGCAAGGCCGACCCAAAACTCAACCACATCCCCAAACAGCTTCAAGAGAGTATGGCTCAGCTCAAGGGTTTAGCGTTTGCAGTTCAAGGTAAAGCCCCACTCTCGATTCCTACCAGCAAGAGCTGAAGCGTAAGAAAAGCAAGCAGCCGTTACCGTCGACGAGTACGTCAAAGATGTTGAAGACGTCTGCTTGGGTTGCGGAGGTATGGTTCAATCTTCGTGCGCAAGAATCTACAGCTTTAAGCTGTCGTAGGATGTGAAGTTCGGTCGGTTTGGGGCTTTGGGCTTAAAAGGGGCAGGCGAGAATGTGCAGAAGAGAATGGAAGCTCTTGGAAGCCTTACCTTCGAGGTTCAAGTCTTCCAGTTTGCAATTAGCTGCAAGCTTCTTGGAACGTAAGAGCTGGAAAGTACTCATTGAGGTAATATTGGGGTTATAAGAGTTATATAGGAATAATGGAAAAGAAAATGGAAACTACTATTTAGGGTTTAGTGTTTAGGGTCCTCAAATTGCAGGAGCTGATCTCAGGACTCCTAGCACGGTGGCAACTGAAGAAGCGAGGTACCCTGCTATCATTTGAGCTATAATCCACACTTCTAGTATCCCCCTTAACCCCCCATAATCCCCCATATAACCCCCTTTAAGGAGTTTAGGTTTAGACTGCAGCTCATTCTCTTGCTTCTTAGTTGGACTCCTGCGCAGTATGTCTTCCTGTCCAAGGCCACCTAAACTGGCAGCAAGCACCTAGAGACCTATAGAAGACTCATAAGCAACTTTAGGAGTTTTTAAGGTTGAAGGATTTAGGTTTATGGATATCAGAGCTTCAATGAAGAAGGAGCTTCAATATGGACCCACAAATCCTTTATATGGATCTTCCGCGGCAAGGGTCTCCTACTGATTTTCGAACCTCCATACGAGCCATAGTCTAAACTCCTTTAAGGGGTTATATAGGGGAGTATGATAGGCGTTATTAAGAGGGATAGTAGGAGTTTAGACTATATAGCTCATATGAGATTTTGTGTATTGGGGTGCAGAGCACAAGTCACAATTGCGCCAAGCCCTGCACACCAAATCGTCCCCTGAGACTCGGATGCTTTTCCCTGAGATTCGGGCTGGGTGCACATAACGGGGATACTTGACACCCCTAAGCCTGAATGCATTTAGTCGCCTTACTCTGTACGCTCGTCTCATGATTCCATGTGAGTAAGCTAGATGGTGGATTCATGTATCTATATGTGCCTACTTGCAGAAGCTGTTGGGCAAGCCTCTGGAAACTTGGATCCCCAAACCCAATGACGATCCCCGAGACAGACCTTGGGACTATATAGGGACTAGATAAGGATTATATGGGAATTATATAGAGATAATGGAAACTACTATATAATATATTGGGGTTATATAGGGATAATGGAAAAGAAAATGGAGACCACTACCCTAAACCCTAAACCCTTTGAGGTTTAGGGCTCAGGATCCGGCCTTGGTGCTCGTCGGTGTCCTGGACTGACGGACCACTGAAATTAATTGCTCGGTTGCTGTTAAGGAAATTAAACTAAGTTACCAACTATGGGAAGATTCCAATTCATAGGGTTTCCTTACTCTAGTAACTTAATGCAAGCTCCCTAGCAGCAACCCAGATCGTGCGAACCCTAAACCCTAAACCCCCTAAACCTAAACCTACATCCCTTCATGGACGTGGGTGAAGTGGAGGTGGGGCTTCCTCAAAGTAGGATTACCCTCGACACCCTGGGATAGTTGGGTCGTATACTAGTATATTATAGTATATTATAGTATTTTATAGTATATTATAGTATATTATAGTATATTATAGTATATTATAGTATATTATATAGTATATTATATAGTATACTATGGTATATTATGTTATATTATGCCGTATTATGGTATATTGTGGTATATTCTGGTATATCATAGTATATTATGGTTTGTTAGAGTATGTTATGGTTTATTGTAGTTGGGTAGTACGGGGGTGCGCCCCGGCCGCTTCTTATCTGTTGAGGTCTGTTCACAGCCTTTTCTGGCATGGAGGCTTGAAAGTCCACTTTATACCTCACTACAGAGAGCGCAAGCCTCTGACACTGTTTAGGGTTTAGCTTCAATGAGGCAGGTTTCCATTTTCTTTTTCATTATCCAGATACAACCCCCAAAAAATATACCACATAGTCGGTTCCATTTTCTTTTCCATTATCCCCATATAACCTCAATATACTATATAGTAGTTTCCATTTTCTTTTCCATTCTGCCTATATAACCCCAATATGTATGTATATATGTATGCGCCGGACATAGTCCCTCAGTTTGGGGCCGTTATCCACCTGCTGAGGGGCTGGCCCAATCAAAACCATGGTATATTATGGTACTTTATAGTATATTAACATATATTAAGGTATATTCGGGTACATTAGGGAGTATTGTGGGAAACATAATTCAATCTATTTGAAGCACGCCCCCTTGGCGTGCTTTCTGGGAAGCGGCAGAAGAAACAAGCAGAACAAACAAGAACAACAAAAACAATATCCAGCAAACCAACATTCGCACAACATGCGAATAATACACGCACACACAAAAACCACGAAAGACCGCTGGGCGAAACCACAGAAACGTGAAACAACACAGAAAGAAATGAGGCAACCACACAACCAGAATCAGCTAACACCCTGGAACCTGCAGCTGTAGTCCCCCTTAAACAGATATAATATGGGGTATGTGGGGATCGAATTCTTATACCCGAGGCCATATTCTATCTACTTAAGGGGGACTACAGATCCCTCCTCGCTCATTGGAGTCAAGGTCATCTTGCCAAGCTTCGTAGAGGTGACTTCAACAACGCTCAAAGTCTCGACCGTCGCTGTGGTGTTCCCCTTAACCAGCTCGAGTGTGGGGTTGATGTCTTCAGGTTCAGGTGCCCCCGCTATGACTTTCTCTCTTGATGGAAAACGGGTGTGACACACTGTGGGGCTTAGGGTTGCACGTCTGGCTTCTACTTGGTGCCTTTTAGTTCAACTTTTTGGAAGATCTGAACTCCTTTGCCAGGCTTTGCCAGATTCGCACGGCGAAGCAGGGCCATCACATGATCTCTTGGCTTGAGGCCCTGACCAGCGCTGGTTGCTGTTGAATCTTCTGGTTCAGAATCTGCGTAACATCCGCTGCTGTTGTCCTTACGGGAACGGGCACTCTCAGCGTTTAGGGTGTAGTAGAAGTTTCGGGACTAGGATCTAGGGTTTTGTAGTTCCAGACTGCCCTTAACGCGAATAAGGTCTTCCGGTTCAGGGTGTTGGAGCTACCGAATTACCAGCCTTCCAGAAGAAGCCAACCATCCAGCCGAGCACAAGTAGCAATCCAAAGTTTGATAAGAACCAGAGCCAGAGGGAGGCTCAACAAGGATCTTGCCAGAAGTCCCCTCTTGTGAGTAAGTAGGTAAGTAGGTAAGTAGGCAAGTAGGTATGTAGGTAAGTAAGTAAGTGTGGCCAGGAAGGTGTTGCAACACCAAACCTCAGCAGCTTGTGAACGCAGATATCGGCCTGGTAGGGAATGAAGGAATGGAAAAGAACGTGGAAATTACTATGTGTTTAGTTTTTGCTCCGCAGAATACATAACTTAATTGTGATCAGTAGGGGATAAGGGAATATAATCTCGATATACATGTATATATATATATATGCATATATATATATAACAATATAAGTCTTTATACACCTTACTCCCTACTAACCCCAGTAAGATTAAGGTTGCTACAGCTTTACGAACAGCCAGTATCCTCTCAGGTAATCAGCAAGCGCACACATGCCGCATCCAAACATGATGCCATCCAATTTGTAATGAATGTACGTGGCCGCGCCTTCAAGACAGGGCCCTGAATCGCTGCGAACCTAAACCCTAAAAACCTGCGCCAGGAGGCTGCGGAAGAGGATTTGTGAGGGCTGGAGCCGTGGACGGGATGACCACGACCTGAGAGAGGCGAGGCACGCTCTAGAGATTATAGTAGTATAGGGTCGAGGGTTTGCGGTTCAGGGTTTAGGGTTCAGAGTTTAGCGTTTATCATTCGTAGTATAATATAGTTAATCAGCACTCATTATTTTCATTTCCTTTTAATAGACTATTGCTATTACATTATGGGGTTTGGGAGGGTAAGGATCTAGGCCTCGTAATCACAAGACTTGGAATGAATTGAAAAAGCCCAGAAACGATATTCCTCCAGACTTGTGATGCAAACCATGCGGTTGTCCTACCAAAGTTCACCCAGAGGGTCCATGTATCCACTAATTAGGTACTTGGGGCTTTGGTACTTTTAACTGTAGTACAGGTTTGGGGTAAGTATGTGATTATTGGGCACGTGGACCCTTGCGGTCAAGCAAAACGTGTGACCTTGCTTCCAGCTATGTCTCCTGCATATAGAACCCAAGCATCTGAACCAAATTGAAGGCAGTGGCACACCTTCGTGCGACCCAACATAATCACAAACATCTCAAATCTAAGCATCTCGCAGAACGGGGAACCTACAAGGGTCATACATGAGAGTCTCTGCCTGTTAAGGCCTCCGTCTGGGTTGAAGATGTAGACGTCTGCATTCATGAGCACTGTCTGGGACCATGTTGCCCACACTGCGGTTAGGCCCCTGGCATAAATGAATGTCAGTTGCCCCGAGAGACGCCTTTGCTGCAAAAAGGCTTGGGAAGCGCCAGGTGAGGGTGCAGGGCTAA